TGCTCTTCCAGACATAATTACAGGGTCACATCTATTTTTCCTACAGGTATTTTCTTCGTGCTATAGGAAATAGGGGTAGGGGTTTTCATCTCATCTCCAAGCAGCCTGTGTATCCCCAACCTATCCCAATGGAGCCTTTAGCCCTCCCCAACAAACAAGTCTGTCTTGATGACTGGACTGTTAGTACAGGCATGATGTTTCCAACACAATGAGAAGTTCTTCTGCTTGGATTCCTCAGCAACAACCTCATTTAGTAGCTCTCTACCTTGAGTGACACTGGGCCTTATATTGCATGAAAGATAGAAAGAAAAAGTTTCAATTTGCAGACTCTTAGATGTTTTGATTCTTTCAACAGAGTGCCAAATTTGTCTTGTAGTTTCTGCACATTTTTTATTAGCATTTCAATGTTGTGCACTTGAATATAAATAGTGGCATCTCATAACTGTATTACCATGTTACAAATGTTGATGAAAGAAGTAAAATTTTTTTGAACCAGATCAATGACATTAGGTTGCATCTGAAAGAGGACAGGTATTTCATAAATTTCTGTATTTATGGTCTTTGGCATCAGTTTCAAAGCATTCTTTAGAGCCAATACTATTTAAGATTTGAGGCATTTAATTTCACCCTATTAAGCAGTTGGCCAAAGATGCAATGACTGATAGCCTGTGTGTGTCATAAAAATTTGTTATTTTCTTTAACTACAGGAAAATAGATTAAAGACACTTTCAAGTATTCTGGAAAAGGTAACTGTTTCAAATCTTGTTTCATGCAAATTCAATACTGAGAAAATAGCAAGATAATTTTCATTAATATCTTATTCACACCCTTGCACTTGATTGCTATATTGGCACCACTGCCATATTCTTGACCTTTGATCAAGAGAATGCCATTCTTATTTAATGTTTATGTTATCATTTTTGCAATGTCAGTATTTCTTTTCTTATAATAGTCTTTATTTTTATAACAAAAAAAAAAAAAAAAAAAGAGAAATTTCTGAAATCTTAAATTTGCAATGTGGTATCCTCAAGGATGAAGAGAGACTCAAGGTGGCAGAGATGTGGTTCTACAGAAGGATGCTGAGGATATCATGGACCGAGCATGTGAGCAACGATGAGGTCTTGGAGAGGACACAAACAAGGAGGAAGCTTATGCTTAACATAAGAGGCAGATGAAATTTCTGGGACGTGTGATGAGAAAGGAAGGCCTGGAGAATCTGATACGGGACAAATAGAGGGAAAAAGAGACAGGGGAAAACAGTGCATGACATACGTGGTGGGCTTGGGCAGGTGGATGGTGGAAAGTGGTCTGGGGGAGTTGGCAGAAACAAAACCTGTCAAGAGCCACAAGGGATAGGGGGAAGTGGAGGGCCATGATGGCCTACATCCTGAAAAAACATGGCACATAAAAAGAAAGACATTGACATGTGAAAAAGGTCACTTGACTGACATGTGTAGAATCAGATGTTGCATCAACTAATACTGAATAGTATTTTACCTTTGATCTTTCATAGATTATATGTTTCAAAAAGAGAGTAGAGCAAAGAAAAATCAATTTTTTCTTTTTTTAACTTCAACTGACAAATAACGTACTGCAACCTTTCTTTGACCTTTTTGATATGGTCTTATAGTATGGGATCCCAAGGAGACAGAAATTCAATCAACCCAAAGAAGATACCATTATGAACATTGTCAATCAGATAAAAGGTACCACAGAAACCCCCTTTAAACCTAAAATAAAATGATGTCAATTAGATGGGGTAAAATATGAGACCAGTTGTTAGTTTGTTTATGCAGAATATGTTCCATGAATATGTTTGAATGAAGTTTTTGTTCAATGTTTTCCAGCCATATGCATTAAATTTCTAACATTGTATTCATGATGTTTTATTTTAAAGCTTGTTTTTAAGTTAGTGATATTCTATTTCTTTGGGTATTGTAGATGGTTAATGATCAATAGTTTTAACCTAAGGTTTAAATGAAATTTTGTTATTGCTAATAAATATTCATCATTTAGCATTTTATCTAGTAATAACTGTGTTCTTTTTATTTCTTCATCATCATTTTACTTCACCCTTTTATGTGCTTCAGACTTTTACTCATGCATTGCATTGATAGGATTTACTGGAAATGATAAAGTGTAACAATACAGCACTGATTAAGCACATAACAACACATCTGCTCTAAAACCAGTATTAGAAGGAATGCATAAAAATTTAGGAAACTCATTTGGTACATGTGATTTGATTGTCTAAACAATCAACTAAAGCTGTCAGGGATAGAACCACAAGGGCCTGTAACACGAAACTGGGTCATTCCATTTCAAATCAACCAACAGCCACATGTAACCCTCTTAGAAAAACATGGAAAAATTTGCAGCTGTTCCTTATTCAAACTCAATGATAAATCAGATATTACATCTGTATCTTTAATAGTTTTAAAATCAGAACATCTTGAAATTTCACTTATCATTTCCCAAAATAAGGCTTTCAACATCTGACATTCATAGGTCCAAGGATATTGCATATATAGATTTGAAACTTGGTGGCACTAATTAATATTTAATGTAGATTACAAAAAATATAAACAACTTAGGTGTGTCTTATGTTCTTTATTTTTATAAGGACCTGAAAATGAACAAAATGTAAAAAGATGTTGTACACATTTACAAAGTATGTCAGACACAACATCCAAATTAGTTTTCGATGTCCAAATAGATTATTTTTATGGAGTAACCATATTCATTACTGTTATAAGAATGTCAGTATTACTTTTTGAAAATTGCTTGATTAAAATCCTTAAAATTGCATATTTTCATGACATCAGCAATCTAGTTAGGCAGTTTTAAAAAGGTTTTATATTTTTACCTCTTATTCTTGCACATCTGAAGATTATATGACAAAAGTTTTGTTTTGCAAGCAAACTTACATGATGTGTTAAAAATTTTTTCTAGAACAACTTATCATGCAAAAATCCTGGTTTTGTCAGTTTTGGCACATTATAAACTTGATACTTAAGAAAATACGAAGCTGAAATTTGGCACCGCTATCATTTTCAATGCAAATAAATAAACTAATTTTGTCTTCATTTTATCTTTATTCCAAATAGTTTAGATGCTATGGGTCTTTAAAAAATTTTCTTTGGTGGTCAACCAAAATAAAGGATTCCACTTTCAACTTCTTATTTAAGCCACTCTGTTTTAGTTGATTTGAGATAGAATGAACCAACTATTAACTCTTTGAAATTATGAAAATATTACAATATTTTTTTATTTTATCAACATTCCCTGTAGACAGGAGAGATGGAATCTAGACATCATCATAATTATTATCTTTTGTTAGAGACAACAAACTTGACTGGATCAGTACCAATTTGTAAAATACTCTGGTGTATTTCATTTGTTTTGGTTTATAGCATATCAAACTCAATGGGTTATTTAATGTCAACAAGATTTTTATTGCTGGTAATATTTTTCAGAAATGTATTGCTGGTATTAAAACCCATTTTTACACTTTCATGGTGTTTTGATCCCAGTTTGGGAGTTAACTATTTGCCCATACCTGGGGCCCTAACAGGTACTACCACTCGGTTCAGGGTGGACATGAGAACACCAGCAATTAAAAGGTGGTTTCACGCTCATCAAAACCACCTTGCTGTTGGATGTAGTTTATTATCATACCCAGGATGGTCAATGTATTTCAAATAGAAATTATATTGATTGGAATTTCAACTTTTTGGTTGCTTTCACAAAATCTGCCATTTTTTTTTATATATTTTGACACATTTGTAAACAAAAGTTAATTCTCGGTTTTAAAAATCTTCCAAAAATAAAATATACATTTCTAAAACTTTGAGAAATATTACCCGATTTAAAGTATAATTAATCTAATTTGAAACAAATATTAATTACTTTAAGTTGAAAATAAATTTTTAAAACAAACAGTAGCACGATTAAGTGCTTGTCAACACCTCATAAATCACTTTACGAGGTGTTGACACTTTTATTGTTCTACGGAGATCTTTGAAACATAATTTAAAATACTTTTTAACTTAATCATTGTTTGCACACCAAATCACTCAGTTCAAGGTAAATATTCGTTTTTTGTTAACTGTGCCCGTTTTTAATTTAATCGTATTATTTTATTGTTAATTTTGAGCGTTTAACTTTTTAAATTAATTAAGTAAAACTAAACTGAAAAGAGGTTTTAGTTAAAGTTTTGGGATAGAGACTCACTTCCAAAAATTTTACCAATGATTAAAGTTTTTTTTTTGCGGGGGTGTATTCTTGGTCGTGCTGATAACTTTTCAGCGCTTCCTTGTAGAAATAGAAATTCAAATTAACTTTTTAAAATCCACAACTTATTTTTAATAGGTTTCATTTAGAATTTTTTTTTTTTTGCAAACATAAACAAACAAATTGCAGACATCATGCTTATGACAAGTCAGCTGATATTTCTTAACAAAAGTATTTTCACTTTTAAGTTTTCAGTTGTTCATACCTGGGAGTAATGATGATAGTGACATAAGTATATTTTTCAAATAAACAAATAAAAATAATAAAAAATGTAGTCACAAGGAAACGGAAAAATATTACACAGCATTACAACGTAAATATGCCAAACACAAACCATGTTAAAAAAACTAAAGAAACTAGCAAGAAAGATATAATTACTTCAGAGTTTGTGGCTCTACAAATCTAATAATATATATATAATAGAAGAAAAAGAATTGTTATAAGTAAAAACAGAGTTTACTCACAATAAACACGAAAATATTCGTCAGCCTAACTCAGAAGCTAACGAAAAAACACATCCAAAAAAAACAGGTTACGACTTATCACAAGAGCTTAAGAATCGTCGACTGAACAAGAAACAACATTTTAAGCTAAAAGAATAATTTTATTATGTTATTAAATAAAAGTATATGACTTTAGATTAGATTAATTACGTAGACAAGAAAACTCAAACGGTGAAAAGTCAGTTTGATTACAAGATAACTTACCACAATTATAAGAGAACTTGGTTGACTCCGCCATTTTAAAAAAAAATATACACATCCGGTGATGACGTCATAAGATAGGCGGTCTTCACCAATAAAACTCGAGCAGACGACTCTTTTTTTCTTTCTTTCTTTCTTTCTTTCTTTGCGTTTTCTACTTTTTACTATTTCTACTTGTATCTTATTTCTCCTTCATTGTACATTTATTTTTATCTTTCTCTATCTTTTCTTCTTTGGGTCCGTTTGTTTTCTTTTCCGAATGCGAGTGTCAGTCTCTCCCCTCACTCCCACTGTATCAGTTTCTATCTGTTCTTTCTCTCATCATCCATATCTCCCACCTGCTTCCTATACGCATATTTCTCTCCTCCCCCGTCTTTGTCCATGTGTCAGTCGCCCCCACTTTCTCTCTTCTTCTTTTTCTTCTTCTTCTCCGTCCCCCCGTCTTTCTCGCTCTGCTTTCTTCATCTTAGAGACATATGCACAGTCGCTCGTGTGTTTGGCAACACATATATCACCTCCTCAGTATAAGAAGAGAGAAATCGTTTACTTATGTGGAGAAACGGAGAAATCATGAATTCTTCTCAGAGATATGCATTCTATCAAATATTTGATCAGAGTTTTTATCGGTTATGTGAAAATATAAAGAATTTCTGTTCAGATTAATAATTCTAGTATTTGCACATCATGCCAGGTTTGGTAGTATTTAAGCGAAGATGGTCAATTGGTTCTGATGATCTAGTTGTACCAGCAGCCTTTATGATTGTTGTGCATCTAATATGGTGAGTATATCATTTTTATTCTTTTACTTTTAAAATAATTCTAAATCTAATTTCAATGATAGGATAGGAATTACGGGTAATTATTTTACCATTTTTATTTCATTTATTTTATTCCCAAATAAAAATACCAATTTAATGATTGGTTTAAAAAATTTGGATGAACTAAAAAACAACCAGATTTCATATGAATTCCAATTGAATTGCATAACTTAAGTGAAAAACATTAATTTATCTTTAATTATTTAAATTCAAGCTTTAATTTATTTTTTAATTGAAATTCATTCATTAATAAAATTAGGAAAACAAAATTAGTAAGTATTGAATTATTAATTCACGCATTTCATTAATTGGTCTCATCAGTACTGTTAATTTTTAAAGGAATTCATTAAACAAATAGTCTCAATGTTTAAATTATTATTTAATTTTCATTTAAAATTTTACTGCAGGTATTAATTTTCATTTAGTTAACAAATGATTCTCCGGTTATTAATTTTTACCTCAAACAAAGTAAATAATTGTTTATGAAGACTTTTAACAGTACCTGTACTATATGAACTAAAACATCAGTCAGTCATTTTCAAGCAAAGACAAGAGAAGGAAACAAGTAAAATTTACTGTATTTTCATATTTCAATTCGGTTTGCAATTAATTTACAAATAATTTGTTATTAAAAACTTAAAGTAACGATTAAAACGTGTTATCCTTTTTTTAGTTTTTGGGAATCAGTTTTTCAACATTTGTTCTCTAAGTGACTGGATGGAAATTTCTGATGATACCAAAAATTGGAATTCTGCGGGAGTAGTCGGAGAATGATTGCCGCCACCGACGACCTCACCAGAAACATTTTTAAGAACTGCTTTATTGCTATTTTATTAATTGTTAAAGATAGTTTTTAAGATATATATACATATATTTTTAAATATAAGGCACTTATTTATTGATCTGATAATGAACATATTGAACGCGTGTTTTTTAATTTTTTAACTTTCACTTTCAGGTTCTGTTATGTGCAATCCTCGTGTTTTGTTGTGTGTTTATTATTGACAATGTTATTGTTAATGTTCATTGTTTGTGTATCCAGTCATTTGTATTGTAAAAATCAAGTTTAATTATGTTAAATTAAATTATCTCATTGTTACCGAAAAAAGTATGTTAAAAAAAATTAAAAAGCCTTTTTAAATGAGTTCAGTTCTTTTTAATTTCTATCTTGAGAAAAAAAAACTGGTCACATGCTAGAAATTAACTAAAAAAACAACTGATAATTCTTCCAATATTAGTAATTTAAATTAATTATTTAAAAAACTTAAAAAATTAAATTATTGTACTTCAAAATAAAAATAGTAAACTAAACAAATACTTATTTTTCTAATTAGAAAATTCGCTCGCTTTTTATTTATTTATCATGCATTGTGGGCTTTTCAATAAGAATAATAAATCATTTTAAAATTTTTGCCGAACAATAACCTAAAAAAACTGAAACTCTCTTTTATGAGATCAGTGATTAAAATTAATTCTAGTCACTATTGGTTTTGAAACTATTTTTTAACTATAAATCTGTATATAACGATTCTTTTCTTTAATTGAATAACACTTATCATACGCAAGTATAAAAGTGCTTCTAAGAAGAGTGGATAATTGACATGAGACCTCTTTTTTTCCTCGTGCAAATCAATACCGCAGACAGCCCGCGCTACATTTGATAAGCAGGCGCCGTCTAGCCAGAGTTTTTCAACGAGAGGAAATCACAATCATCGGGAAATTCAAAAGAAATCATTTTTCCTAGATTCGAAATGTTTGTCTTTTAACTGTGTAGGTTGTTACTTTTGTTGTGACGCTTTTTAAAGACTTTTTTAATCGTCTAACTCCCCAACCACTATTTCAGTTTTAATTTTCAATAAAGGGATAAAAAGATGCAGATGAATAAAATTAAAACAAAAAAATAAAAATGGAAACAAGTTAAAAATGAAATAGCAGTTGTAAATCTAATTTATTCATCATTGGAAACCGCGCGAAAAATGTATATTGCAAAGAAAGATCACAAAAAAGTAATGAATAACCTTTTTTGGTGGTTTTTATTTTTATTTTTTTTATTTATCGAAAAAGTATTTTTAGAAAATTTCTAAATTTAACGCAAATTTTGCGGTAGTGCCAAAGGGGATGAGGAATGCTATCAGAATTAAAAAAAAATCAATGTTGAACCCTACGTGACCTCATTGAATGTTTAGAATTCGACAGATTGAAAGAAAATGTAATGAAATATTTTGGTTAAATGTTTATGCATGTAAAATTCACATGCATGTCTGCATTTTCATAACATTTTTTTCACATTTAAACCGATTTTACTAAAGTTTTTGATAATTTCAAGAAAGTTCATTAATCTTTTTTTTAATCATGAACAAACTTAAACAGCATTTTTTTTACAAATATATGAAGATTGAAGTTCTTTTTTTTTTATTTTTTTAAGTCAACTAGTTGTTTTCAGGAGCTTTCATGTACTTAATACAAAAATTCTGATACGCTACTTAGCCTAAGAAGAAGTACTTTCACTTTTGTTAAAAATAACCAAATTATTCTGTTTTTTTGTTATATTCTCTTTTTTTTTTACATAGAATATTTTTTATTTATAGTTTGCTCTAGAAATCCAGGAAAGTTTTTCAAGACAAGAAAAATCTGTTTAAGAATTAAATTGAAAATAAAACTGACATTTTAAGAATTTTTTAGACATTTTTTTTTCATAACTCAGTGGCATCTGAAAATGATTGTGAATTATTTCATAGAAAAAATACTTACACTGTTGAAATAATCAAAAATGTGAATTTTTTTTAATGTGATAATTTTCAAAATGTTATTTGATGACTAATTTTTCTGATGTTTGGTGGTGTGGGCAGGTTAAGGTATACGACTTAATTGTAAATTTAACAAAGAAGATGTTTAAGTTTAATCCTTTTTTTTTTTAGACATTTGCAAGTTGAAATTCATGCTTATGATTCTTAAAAAGCTTAGGAATGTTATCAAAAACACATCGTAATCACTCAACAAGCATAAAATTTCTGTTGTAGTTGTATATTCTTGTTTTCAAAACACTACCCATTTTCTTTTGATTCAAGCATTACACATGGTAATTGATTGAGTAAAAAAAACATTTTACACAGAAATAATGATTTATTTAGATTTTCATAAATTGTCTAGTTTATTTTCTCATTTTTGGTGCTTTGATGATAAAAGTTTATCAGTGATATTTTCAAAGTTTAAATACTTTATAATTAAACTTATTTAAACATATTAAACTTATATTTAAACATTATTATTTAAATTGATTTTCAAAAATAGGAAGCTTTTTAAAGCATTAAAAAGCTTCCTATTTTTGATAATACATACATTTTAATTGTGCTGGAAAATATGGTAAAAAAAATTATAAAAAATGTATTAAATAAATATAGGATTACAGCTTGCATTTAATATTGAACATATGCATAGGCTTATAATCTCTTTAATAAAAAGATTAAAAATAATCAAATTATAAAGCAGAGCTAGAAAATGTATAAAAATATTTTGGATATTCAGAGGCTGACAACTTTATTGTTCAATTATTAATAGAAATCCTTCATGTACAAATACTTTTATTTTGATGCTATGAACATATGGAAAACAAATGATTTAAAACTTTATTTATGCTTGTAAAATATGTTGGAAGGGAAGCAATAACCTTGGATTTTAAAAGTAGAAAGCTGACATTTTAGGTGAAAGTTTCATTGCTGTTGTTTAAAATCCTCTACTTAACAATCCTGTTACTTGAGATGGCATGTCAGGCTTTGTACTAATCAATCTGCTGCATTCAAACAAGTAATAGTTAGCATGAGATGCTAAGGATACAAATGCAGTTTGGTGCATCAATGGTTGGTAATTGTTAAACAAGTCAATTTTTAATACCACTTCTGGTACAAGTGACTGAAGAACAGATGGTACTTCATATAATTCCATATTAGTTATGGTTTTAACTTTATGTAAGATAGGAAGTCATCCTGTGAGTGGATGAGGTGATGTTAAAATTATTAGTAAATATATGAATAGGATTATTACAGGGAGAAGGTTATTGCTGAAGAGTATGAAAGGAATGGAGATCAAAGATGCTATTTCAGCATTGATGCAGTGACTTAAACAGATCTAATTAAAGAGGAATCGAGATAATTATTTGCAAATGTTTCACTTGATACCATATGAAAGAAAGCCGAACCCAGTATCTTTGCTAACATACTGCCCAAAGCTTTGCTATTAGTTTCTCTTTGCTTTGCTTTTCTTTTGTGTGAGTGCATTGATTACTTTTAGGTCACCAATTGATTATGCTTCACTGGAGCTTATTATAGTCTGTGATTATTAATGAAGCAGTAACATAGTGCAAACGGTACCTGTTTTTTTTTTCTCTTCACTTCTGAAATTATCAGATTTAATACTCACTAGCAGCATGGCCCGGCATTGCCCGTGCTTGATTCAAAAATCGTACGACTCATACAGCAATCCCTTGACTTAAAATATTTTTGCCCTTCCTTCCCTTTAAATGAGTACCCTTTGCCATGCTGATATTGCTACATGCCTTACTTCTTACCTATCTCACACTGCAAATTTTTTTTAAGCTCTATACTAAACATTAAATCTGTTATGAAAAAAGAACTAAACAAAATGAACACAAAAACTGGAAAAACCGAATGAAAAAAGAATATTAACAACAAATACTTTTTCACACCCAACCCAGTTCTGCGGAATCAGAATCAACATTGAGTTTAAGCAAGCGAATGAGCCAATTGTAGTAAAGTGCCATGCAGATTTAAATTTTTCCCACTTGTGACGAATGCAGCTATTGATTTTTTTTACATGCTAGCATGCTAGTTAACATTTGTGTCAGTCAACTGTTGGCTCCCACACTGGCTAATAGAATCTTCCTGCCTATTCATGGCAGCCAGCTATAGGCTCTCTCTTTGGCCAGTACAAAATGGCCGCAAACT